GGGGGGGACCGAGTGCTCGGCCGAGCCACTCGGTACTGACGAACCTGTGCTCTCCAAGGATCAGCGCACAAGTTTATACGTGGCTTGCGGATTCTTCCAGAGCCTCTACGGCGCCCAGCGTCACGTTTTCGGTAACAGCATCTTGATTTATATTTACTCCTAGCTTACACCTTGTAGACGTACCCTGAGAGATACTAACTAAAGTTATAACCGCCACAGTTCTGTTACCCGGCTTTGCACAGGCATACGCGACAAAGCACACACACGGGCACGCGAACACCCAACGAGCTGTTCGGAGACGAGGAAGCAGTGATAGAACTAACAAAAGAGTGCTGCTGTAACACTCGTATTCCAGCCAAACCCCAAACGCAAAAAAGAAGCGTCCCAGAAGATTTGTAGGTGGGGTGCTCAGAACCGATGAGCTGGCTGCCGATGAGTTAGCTGCCAGTGCCTGATGGTGAGAACGAGAAGAAGCCAGAAAGAGAAGAGAAACTTTCTCGGGAGTCCGGTTGATGACCTTGGTCGCGATTGTGGACGTCCAAGGTAACGAATTTTATGGACCACTTCGTGTTGCCTGATGCCGATCTGTCCACCTCCGGTTGTCGCGCTCGCGAAGTATTTAGAAGACCGTAAAAAGACTATCATGGTTGAACAGAATATTGGTTGGCAAGAAGTTTTGTTCGACACCTAGTTGTAACCTTCCGCTGAGAGAGGTGCTGTTCCGCAAAGGCCCCCCCAATCGCAGTCCCCCCCCCCAATCGCAGTCCCCCCCCCAATCGCAGTCCCGATCGCTTCATGAGCTTACTGCTTCATGAGCTTACTGCTTCATGTGGAATATCCTGAGGGGATGTGCACGGGCGATCGGGAAAGCCATCTCGCATCCCAATTGTTTTTTTTGGCGGTGTTATAACTGCGTGCATGAAGACAATTTGCTCTACGGAGACAAGTGGCCCCCGGCTGGCAACTTTGGTGGCCGGGATTATTGACGCTCAAGGCAACTTCTGCGGCACCGGTGGTTGCACGTTTATGTCTGCCACTGTGAGCTTGAAAATTAGGCCGAAGAAGCCCAACCCGCTCCACATATCCGCCTTCAGCCAAGCCAAGGCCATGAAGTCGAAAGAGTTCGATGTGGTGATATCGGTACCGAAAGGTTGCGTGGATATCTCTATCCCCGCCGGAGTGAATAGCCTGCAGCTGTCGGCCAAGTCGCGGAAGAACTGTCGGAGGTCTGCTGTGTCGTTGTACCAATTTGCTTGCATTCTAGCTCGCGGATCGTTATCCATACACGCAGACGATCCAACCGAGCACTTCGGGGGCCCTGAAGCAGCGGAAGAACTAAAGCGCGAGGTCATGAAAAAAATTGCGGGCGCCTTCTATCCGAAGATCAGTGAGTATGAGGAAAGTGTGTCGGATCAAGAACGCGCGGAATTGTGTGCTCTAGTTCGACGCGGGGACTGCTACGGATTCAAGGACATTCAGGAGACTGAGCTGGAGAGCTATCTCGCGTTCCCGCCAAATTCCAAACAGGCCAACAGGAGAAACAGTAATAAAGCCGATATGGCGGTGAAGTACTCAGAACTTCAAGCTGCCGATGAGCCCGAGGGTGCGTCTGACGCTGGAGTGTCTGTCGCTGACGTATTCGACGCTGAGAACGCGCCAGAGAAGCATAAGAAAGAGAAGAAACCGAAGAAAGAGGCAGCCGGCGATGACGCGTCCGGCCTCGAAGGAGAAGAGAAGCCCCTGAAGCCTAAGAAAGAGGTGGCTGACGCTGAAACTTCCGGCCCGGAGGAAGAAGAGAAACCGCTGAAGCCGAAGAAGCGTGGGAAGAAGCTTGGGTATGAACATACCAGCAATGACGTCGTGACTGAAAAGTTCGCCACGTCCGAAGACCCGTTGGAATTAGAGGGAGGAGGCGTGCTGTATTGCGTGAGTGAGTGATGTGTCACCCACCTCACTGCGTGGAGTGGCCTTCACCGAACGGAGAAAGTATTTTTTTTTTTTTAAGGAGACTGAAATTTAATTTGTAATTTAGGGTTTAGTGTACCGCACCGTCTCGTCGGACCCCACCGCCCCGAAAACACAGTGATGGCACAAACTTTTGCCAGAGCCACCACGTGGCTTCCTTATCGTTCACGTTCCTATCCTACGGCCGATGTTTTTCCGGCGCTTGTGATTGTGTGTGTGTACATGGAAGCAGTTTGCTTTCGCTGAGCTGAGTAGTCCCCAAAACGGAAGACTCAGGAAGAAGAAGAAGATTGCCAGCCGCCGGTTATTTCGTTCAACTCGCATCACTCACTCGCCCGCCTTGTATCGCTCCTATAGAAGAGACCTTATGCCGGTCCGCTCTTTCTACAGAAAGAGGGGACCGACATAACCCGCTGGCTCTTGCTAGATATCGTTCTTGGTGGCTTAGGTATTGTTCGGTAGCACTCTTCTAACGTTCCTTCCCGGTGTCGTTTTCTTACTCGTCGGGGTTCCCGCGTCCAGAACCGGACTGTATACGCACGCGGTGGTGGTGGGTTGCACTGTGCTTGATTCAGTTGGGCCGGTTGCGCGTCCGGTGCCGCGAGGGGTCTTAAGCCATCCCTTAACCATTCCGACTTGTGGCCATTTATTGGATACAGCCTAGCTGGCCGTGTTCGAGGAGACAGCCTTTAATCATGTCACTCAGACTCCCTGCAAACTTTGGCTGAAAGCAAACCTAGTGAACTAGTCCTTGCTTCTCGTTCAAATTCACCCCCTCGCGACAAAACAAAAACAAGGGTTTTTTTGGAGGGGGGGTGGGGCTGTTAGTTCGCTTGCATGAAAGCAATTTGCTCGACGGGACCAAAGGGGACGGAACCAAGCGGCGCCCGGTTGGTGTCGACCTTGGCAATGATTGTGGACGCTCAAGGCAACTTCTGCGGCACCGGTGGTTGCACGTTTATGGCTGCCACTATGCGTATGAAAATTGGTCCTAAGAAACCCAATCCACGCCACATCTCCGCCTTCAGCCGAGCCAAAGATTTGAAATGGAAGGACTTCGATGTGGTGATATCGGTGCCTAAAGGTCGTCAGGAATTCGCTATTCCCTATGATGTGAATAGCCTACAGCTGTCGTGCAAGTCACGGAAAAATCGTGGGAGGTCGGCTGCCTCGTTGTACCAATTTGTACGCCTCGTAGCTAGCGAAGCCGTAGGTATGCACAAGGCCGCATCAAGCGAGCTGTTCGAGGGTCCTGAATCAGCTCTGAAACTAACGAGAGTACTGGACGATACCATGAGAAGAGTGGCAGGTGCCTTCTATCCGAAGATCAGTGAGTACCGGAAAAGTTTGTCCGAGGAAGAAGACTTGAAATTGTGCGATCTAACTCGAGACAGTTACACTCCCAGAGTGAAGGACATCGATGAGGGTGAGCTCCAAAGCCATCTTGAGTTCCCGCCGAATTCCAAAGAGGCCAAGGAGGGAGACAGCAAGGAGGACATGGCGGTGCAGTACTCAGAACTTCAAGCTGCCGATCAGCGCGAGGGAGCGTCTCACGCGGAAGTGTCTGACGCGGAAGTGTCTGACGCGGAAGTATTCGACGCCGAGAACGCGCCAGAGAAGCCTAAAAAAGTAAGGAAGAAACCTAGAAAGGTGTCGGCTTACGCTGAAGCTTCCGGCCTCGAGGAAGAAGAGAAACCCCTGAAGCCGAAGAAGCTTTGGAACAAGAAGAAGCCCAAGAATGACGACACCAGTGACGACGTCATGACTGAAAAGTTCGCCACGTCTCAAGACCTATTAGAATCTTAGGGGTCGTGATGTCACTGAGCAGAACCGTATTGCGTCCGACCCGCATCGTATCATGAAACCTTAGAAGAGCATCAATATTCGGTACCACTATCACTTGCCAGAATCGCAACGCTCTATCCGCCAGTTTTTAGTGTGACGGTCCTGTTGACCCGTCCGAACAGTCCACACCGCACGCAGCGACGAAAGTAGCTCGGAGCGGTTCTTTCTCGGCTTTGTTGGTAAAGATTTCATAAATGTGCGAACGAATGTTGAAGCATCCTCTTGCGTTGTAAATTTTGGTCAATTAGGGTAAAAAGGCTACAGTAAAAAGGTCTCCGGTTCGACTCGAGTTTTTGGAAATATAATATCTCATCCTACAACCGATCCACATGATTATGAGCAGCCAGGTAAGTGTGAGCGGGAAGGGTATCGACGAGGGGCTAGCAGCGGTAAGTCCACGGGTCGACGGGGGCGGCACTGAACAGACGCACCCGGTCCCGGGCCCTGGGCAATTCAGCTCAATACTGGCCGCCCGCGTTTTCCTAGAGAGAGGTACACTCTTTTCAAAGGGAGAGGTACACTCACGTCCTGACATTCCTTGCACCAACTCGCGTCTTCCTTCCAGTGCCCGCCAGTCCATTCCGACCCACTCAAAAGGAAGACGTGAGTTGGTGCAAGGAGTGCCAGGACGTGAGTGTACCTCTCCCTTTGAAAAGAGGCCAAGTTCGACGACTTGACCGACGGGTCTCCAGGGCCTACGATAAGCACGCCACAGTCGACGAGGCGTCATGCCTGGCGGGCCGGGTCGTGCCTGCGATAGCGAGCCTGCGATACGCGACCCTCTCTGAGGCCGCTCGCTGTAATGTGGAGGCGTACTTCTCGGAAGCTGCCCTCAAGTTGCACGACGATTCCAGCGTGTGTGTGCGCGCGTGGTACAAGCAGGTGAACGCCTTCAAGGCAGACCACCTAACGAAACTCAACAACGCGATAGCGAATAAGCTGCATCGTTACGCCAGACTGCCGGATAGGTGGATTGCAAGGCCAGGGTGGAAAAGAGACAGATGACATACAGGTGTTGCTTCCCGCGGAAGCACTCATGGACGCGCACGACAAGCCAAGAGAAGTCTCCTTCGTAGCGCGGACGACGTGGCTTCAGAGGAAGTATCGCCGGGCAACGGTGCCGATCTACAGTACGACGATGATGGATCGAGATATGGAGGACGCGAGGGCTAAACAGTATCGAGTGCTGTTCAAGTCATTCCCGTCATGCGGCAAGGATTGTCCCTGCAGGGGCGCAGGAAGGGTCATCTGGCGTGAAGGGTCATCTGGCGGCTGTGTGCCGGGCAATAGCGATTAAGGATGGATATGCGTAGGGGACGCTGGCTACTGCCGGCCGAATCCTAAGGGCGGATACGGAGATAGCCCCAAAGCACCCAAGCACAGAAATACGTAGCGATCATCGCAGAGGCAAAAGAAGATGCCCAACGACAGTCCCGACGAGCCAAGGAGCGGAGAGAGGCGAAACGAGGCCCGAACAGCAAGACACGCCGTGGAAAGGCGGTAGGGTAGGACTAGGAGCAATAGAGGACATGAGCAGGAGTGAACGGAGCAAAGACCAGCGAACGGAGCCTTCAAGCGATCGCAAAAGCGGGGCTGAGCTGACATGAGCAGAGCGGAACCAACACGATAGTCGCTGCTGCCTGTAGCGTGATGTTCTGATGCGCGTAGTAGACTATGCGTTGCGATAAACCCATAGGCGAGGAGGGCGAAGCGAAGAGCCGAGGTGCTTCATACCTTGTACGAAGTACGAGCAGGCATGGCTCGCGCCACAGGTTGGCCATGTTGGTTACAAAGTGAAGCCCGAGGTCACGGATAAACCGTTCAAATGAGCTGACAGATCGAGGCACAGCTGGCGCTACATGGGCGTACGGTCAAGCAGCTGAGCAACACAGACGTGGTATAGATCTTTTGAACGTGGCCGGGATTAAGCGTGCGGCCGAATAGGAGGGCCTGATTGGCCATAAGGATTACGTGGAGCGCGACGGCGGGGTTGTGGAGCCCACGATGGGTCGAGGGTAGGTCGGCGCTGTAGTTTGTAACAAAGGAGTAGCACAGTAATTTGAGAAAAGATCTTTGACATGGGGCTTCTGGCTTCGCTACCGGTCGCGACAAGTATCTCGACGGCCTACAACCCGAATGGGCGAAACAATCCCGTGCCGCCACTCTACAGAAGAAGTCTATCTCCCAGCTGGACTTGTAACCTCTTTTGACCACCCGCGAATTTAGGGATGCAATGAAGGATCGTCGACCCACATTTTCGAAACCACCAACCTTGGTAGTGGAGGATATCGAGAACTTGTTGACCCAATGTTCCTGATCTGTCAACTCAAAGCAGAAGAAGGGTCAACAACTGTACTACTATCCAAAAATTTCATTCAGAAGGAATTCCTTGTGGGCGCCGACCTTTTCAATAAGATTACTTCATTACACTATTTCCATCATATACTTAAGAACCCGGAATCGATAAGAGCGAATACACCTAGTTCAGCCTTTCAGCGACGACATTTGTCCTCCGGAAGGTTATACATTTCCGAAACCGAAGACCCGACTCTGCCAGACAGAATCTGATACACTTCGGGATACGCTTCTCCCACAAAAGAAGATCGAACGAACTACCACGGCGCGTTGCATCTTGCAGCCGGTAATCGTGGGTAGGCGGGTGACCCACAACAACCAGCTACTAGTTCCGTTTGTAACGGCCAAGAGGAAGCTGAATCGGCCGCTGACAACTGCCCCTATCGTGCTATGGGCGACGGCCCAGAAGTGGGTAGCAAAAATAGACTGAACAAAGTGGGCAAAGGTCTAAGGCATTTAATGTTGTCCCTCTGCGTGAGGATCAGCGAGACCATCATGGGTTTGAGGTCGACGGGGTCAAGTACCGATACGCGTGTATGCCGATGGGGGCGACGGGCGCACCGGTCCACTTTGACCTCTTGGCGTCTCTACCCTTCCCAGAGCACATACGTTCCTACATAGACGACATCGTTATCGCTGCCGAGTCCAACTCTTTTAAACTACGA